AGAATCTGTCTTTTCAGTTCCAACCAGTAACAACAACTGAGTGCTCAGAACGCAAAGCTGCAAATTTTTATGCAGATTCATCAATTCCTCAAAGTCTGAAACCCCAAACTCCAACGGATCAACAGACGATTCGGGGACAGAACCTGACTCGGGGACAACGGAACGGGTTCTATCTTGTCCCAGTAAACAAACTCCTAACAAAGAACCTAGCCGGAAAGGCCTATCTTGAGCTCTAGCGGGTGTTTCCAGTCTGCCCCTCTTTCCTTTAAGAAAGAGTCTTTCTGATAGACGATTCCTCCACTCTATTTTCGTCGGAACAGGAACTACTTTTGCCGCTTCGTATTCAGTACCATATAGTATCAGTTTGAGAATGTCATTTCTTCACTGTCTAGAAAACTAATGCTGCAGTAAGTAGAACATTCTCGACAGAAAAATACATAAAATGACAGCAGACATAGAAACATATAACATTAAGTTGAGGTTCAGCTCGGCATATAACATCGAACACTCTCAATTCATGGAAAAAAAAAAAAAAAAAAAGGGTTAAAAATATCGTACCAAAGAATAACTTATATTTTCTGATATGCCGAGCTGTCCAGAATCATTAAGACCAGTAGCATAAACGCGGCCATTATCTGTGTGACGAGGAGGGTTATTAATTTATGAGCTGAAAACTGATAAAGATTAAGTAATTGAAGTTAGAAAGAGAATACCAGTTAAGAAGAGGGTTTGGGCGCCACCACAAGCACTGGCTTTAACGCACTGATTCTCAAAGGCAGAGCAAACGACAGGGACAGGCCTCCTCTGAGACTCCAAGCTCCCTAAACCTAATCTTCCGTAATCTCCATTCCCCCACAAAGCCGCAAATCTCTTTTTCGGCTCACCGGACATCCATCTTCTCCATAATTCTCTTGAATTTATATCCCTTTTTGCAATGTATTTGATCATTCCACTCAAACTTCTACTCCACATTGTTTTCTCACGAAGTAGAAGGAGAACCAGAGAGAAATGGAATTACAAAACTTATGGCTCTAAAGGTAGCTAAGACTTCATGGCCAGAAACAGTTTAAACCAAAAACGGATTACTAAAGTAAATAGAGATTATTTTCAACATGTCTAGATAACAATCTGTTTCAGTTCTATACTGGAAGCCACAAATAGAAAAAGTCTAGAAACAGCAAAAAGAGAATGCATTCACCAAATTTCGGACTTCTGTAGCAGGGTCATTAGCAAGAACAAACAAACCCTGAACGTACTGATCCATGGATGTAAATAAAGCCTGCAATGAATCAAGACATAATATTGGAATTTGGATGTTAACCCCAAGTAAAAGAATAACATTATTAAGAGAACAAATACTTCAAGCATACTCACAGAAGGCATCAGCATAATGTATTGATTTACAGAACCCAAGGAAAGCTTTCTTAGCGAGGTATGCGGTGACTGGAAAAACTATTCACACAAAAACCAGAAAATTGATGGGGCGCTCAGCCGTTGAAGAGTGGAGTATTTCTTTCTCTCTAACGGAGAATAATGATATGTTACTTATTTAAAAAATGCAAGCCCCATTTTTTAATAGCGTTGCCGGAGCTTTACTTTTTAAATACACCCAACTCTAACCCAGAGAAACCGGGTTGCGTGCGAGATATATACATTTTACATCCTTATGATTTTATAATCAAATAAAGGTAAACCATAGTTTACTAATAGACTAAACAAGTCATATTTCTTAAAGACAACTCATTTCATACTTTTATTCTTACGGCATATCCCATAAATACCCTTCATTCCAATGTTTTTTAATATATTTTAAAAGGGAACATTTCATTCTTTTCACTTATGCAATATAACCCCATCATCCTTATTCTTAAATTAAAATTTTTAACAATTAAATTGAAAATTCATAAAAGAAATTAGAGCTAAAAGAAATTCTTACAAATAATCCCAAGAAAATAATACAATTAAACAACACACACACACACACACACACACATATATATTTGTGTGTGAAGACAAAATTAATAATAAATTTATGTGTGAAGCAATTAAAAACTTATAATTTTGTATTGCTTGTAACATGAGATATTCCATCGCAAATCTTCTCCTTCCATTAAATTATCTTTTTTTGTCCTAAGAATGATTTAAATAGCATAAAATAAATTAAAGTTTATGAGATAATAGTGAGATGTCAAAAGTATTAATAACGAATAGAAAATTGAAGTTAATTTAATATATAAATAAATTTGTCATTATAAAATGTATTAAAAAGTGGGATTAGATTATTATAAAACAAATTCATAACCATGATTCAGCGTAATCCAACGAATTTGAATAACAAGTTAGAGTTGGTTAAACTTTAATGTCAACTAAGCAAGTTGTTGTAAGCCACAAATTTGTATTACAATAATCAGACCCTTAAAAAGTGAATCTTCCTTAATTCATTAATGGGATGGCAATATATTCACTCTAGTTTTTAACTGAATTAAGTTAAAAATTTAATTTGAAAACGTTATCACCGTAAGTTTTTAGAAAATGTTAGTGTGGTTTGATTAAGGTGGTTTTGGAAATCAAACTGATAATAGTATATAAATTAAAGAGTAAACTACTTTTTCCTACCCAAGGTTTCGCCTAATGACACTGTCCCACCCGCTAAGTTTTATAATGACATTTTCCCATCCACTGTTACAATTTGTCCGTTAATTTTAATTGCAGAAGGACATAATGATAATTTCAAAAAAATAGTCAGAGGATAAGTATGTCATTTACCCTCTTCTTCTTGTCTCTTCCTTCCTTCTTTTCTTTTCTTCTTCCTTTCCCTCTCTCTCCTTTTATCGTCGACTGCGTTCTTTTTTCTCTTTCTCTATTACTTATTTTCCTTCTCTCTTTGTCTTCAACTTCTCAAATGGTTCTCTCTTTGTCTCAAATAGTACAGGATGGCTGTCTCCTCAATTTCTCGAATGGGTTCTTCTCTCTTTGTCTTCTCCCTTTTCTTGTTTTGGCTTATGGGTTTCACAAAAGCCTCCCTTTTGTACCCCTTGATGAAGGCTATACACATTTGTTTGGAAATGATAATCTTGTTGTTCATAAAGATGGAAAATCTGTTAATTTAACTTCAGATACATTCACAAGTTTTTTTTTTTTTTTTCTTGTCTCTTGCTTCTTTTTTCCTTTTCTTTTGTTTTGTACTTTTCACAAGTTTCTATTTTCTTCTTCCTGGGGTTCTCCTTTGGTGGAACCCTTCTTTGAGGCCTTTTGCAAAAATCTTTCTTCTTGGCTAGGAACGAACCTCTTGAACTTTCTTGTAATCATAGCAAATTCTTCATCATCTTCGCTCTCTTCTTCCTCATCATCACTCTCATCTTTTGTAGAAGCTTTGAGAGCCCCTGTTCTTGTATCATTTTCTTCTTCTCCATTCTTCATGGTAAGCTCATGGGTCATTAGAGAACCTACAAGCTCTGATACCAAATGATAGAATAGGAACAAGTTGTTTTGCTAGGAACGTGTTGAGGATGATCGAATTAGAACCCTAAGGAAACTAAGTCCTTAAAACCCTAATCTTGAGACGCCACAAAGGTTGATCACTCCCTTTGATAAGTCAAGATTCAAGCATTCAATCAAGAACACAAGAAGGCAAAGCAATTAGTTTTCTGAAATAAACTTCAATTGATAATAATCTGTCCCCAAAAATAACATGGCGGCCCCTTTTTATAAGCAACAAACCCTAAAAGAAAACCCTAGCTAATTGAAAAACGAGTTGGGCCTAAATAATCCTTAAATAAGTAAAAGACTAAAGAATCTAATGATAATTAAAACATAAACAGAAGCCCAAGATTAAATAAACGAAAATTAATTCCTAAATTAATCCTTGCCTCCAACTTGATCTTCTGAATCTACCCCTTGCATAAAAAGATAATAGGTCATCCTTGGTGAAGCTTTGAAATCTTCGAATTTAGTCTTAGAGTCTTCTAGTACAACCTTTTTATATTGCACTTTCATGATCAAGCCTTGCAAAGCCTCTTTCATCCTCTTTGTCTTTGCCCTAGTCATTGGACCGTCAATTCCTTGCTAAGGATCTTAAGAATATTTGGGAACATCAATTTGGTCAGCACCTCGATCTCCATTAGGTAGTCTTGCGAGGTCTTTGGCTTCTTGAATGGTTGTGACCTTAGCTGCCCCTGATCTAGGAAGAGATCTTAGAATCTTCCTCACTAGCTCACCGTTGGAGTCAGTTTTGCAAGATTTTGAGGCATTGATGATATCGGTGAAGCAAACACTTGTGTGATTGATTCATCACCCTTGAGGCTGAGCTTAGACCTTTTGTGTCCGTGTCGTCTCGCTGAGCAGCAACACAATAAAAAAGTTTAATACTAGTAAATGATCAAAAAGAAAATCGAAATAAAGTAGGAAACTACGGCTCGAAAGCAAGAAACAAGGGAAAAGCATCGAGAAGAAAAGAAGATGCCTATTATCCCTATTGCCGAGAGAGAAGAAAATGAACTATTTGCACCTTGGATCGAACAGGGTGATCGAAAGACCCCCCTTGGTGCGCCAGGCCACCAGTTCTTGCGAGCGAACTCCCAAACAAGACGATGGGTAGAAGATGACGATGAAGTTTTCCTTGATTAAGTCGAGCCAACATATTTGAGAACCCTAATGAGATAGATTGTTGGCTGTTGACGGTTTTGATAATCGCCAACACTAGTTGGCCGATTGCTCTTTTTTTTTCAAAATTTTATTTATTTATAAAAATATTTTAATATTTAAAAGAAGAGAAAAAAAAAACGAAATTTATTATTCTATCCTTCTGCAGTTAAACTAATGGAAAAATTATGACGGTGGGTGGAAAAATATCATTATGAAACTTGACGGGTGGGAAAGTGTCATTAGACCAAACCTTGGGTGGGTAAAACTCGTTTACTCTAAATTAAAATAGGCTTTTTATATATGACACGCGTTTTGAGTGAAGAAGACATTCTGAAAGAATTAGTTATAGAATGGGGATGCGGTGTTTGTCTTATGTGGAGTTATTCGTATGGCGTGAATTTTGGGGGATTTGTTAGGTGGTGTGTTGATGTTGATTATTTTCTACAAAACCATGTTTTGAATAAACATCAGAAGAATTGGTTGGGATAGGAAGTAAATTGAAAGCCAAGACTGAGGAAATGGAAATGGGTTAAGTTTAACTTTGATGAATGCTCTCTCTCAGTGTCACCGTGAAATTTTGACTAGATGGACCGCCGTAGTTGGCTTTGGCGACGAAAGTCTTCGGAGAAAAGTCCCGGTGAAACAGAGAGTTCTGGCTCCATTTCGTCCCTTTCTGAAAGATTCTCTGATGATCAGGTAATTTAAAAGAGATTAAATTATGCTGGATTCTTTTATTTAATTACCATTACTAATGGTGGTCGGTTTGTGGATACAGGCTTTTCCAACTCATATTTCTCACTCTCCAGAAGTCACATCGAAAGGTTTGCCTGCGGATGAAGAAGTGACTGATAATGTGAGGAGTCTGACTGACAAACTCTCTGCTGCTCTTCTGAACATTAGTGCCAAGGAAGACTTGGTAAACCAACATGCCAAAGTTGCAGAAGAAGCTGTTTCAGGTCTTCCATTTTCAAGCTATTTAATTTCAAATTCTTATGATTATGACCTTATGTTGAATACGAAGTCTTATAGAATGACATTTCGTGTAATTGAAAAAGAAGAAGAAGAAAGATGTTTTGGATGATTTCCAATTCTTCTTTTTGTTTATAGATTTATATCTTTTGTGCATAATCTTCCTCTAGTCAGAAATGAGGATGAAACTTGCTCTAATGAGTGGGTAATTAGCAGTTTCTTGCTTGTGTTTTCAAATGCTAGGGTGGGAGAAGGCTCAAAGGGAAGTGTCGAGTTTAAAGCAACAACTTGAGGCTGCTGCTCAGAAGAATTCAGCACTTGAAGATCGAGCTGCTCATCTTGATGGAGCACTCAAGGAATGTGTTAGACAGCTCAGGCAAGCAAGAGATGAACAACAGCAGAGGATCCAAGAAGCTGTTGCCGAGAAAACTCGCAAGTGGGAATCAGAAAAGTCTGATCTTCAGAAACAGCTCTTTGATCTACAGAAACAACTTGAAAATGCCAAAGGTGAGGCTGTCGTCTCAGTTGATATTGATCTTTTCTCGAAGCTTGAGGCTATAGAGAAAGAGAATTCATCTCTTAAACTTGAGCTCCTTTCTCGTGTTGAAGAGCTAGAACTTAGGATTATTGAGAGAGATCTAAGCACCAAAGCAGCTGAAACAGCCAGCAAGCAACATTTGGAGAGCATTAAGAAGTTAGCTAAGGTTGAAGCTGAATGCCGAAGGTTAAAAGCTGTGGCTCATAAAGCAATCACTATGAGTGATCAAAAGTCTTTCACTGCCTCCTCAGTTGGTGTTGAATCTATCATAGATAGTCAGTCAGACAGTGGGGACAGGCTACTAGCAGTTGAAACCGATACACATAAGATGAGTGGCTTGGAGACAAATGAATGTGGGACAAGCCATACTGACTCATGGGCATCTGCTTTAATCCCAGCAATTGATAAATTTAAGAATGAGAAGGCGCTGAGCAGAAAATTCATGGTCCCGTCTATGCAAATTAATCTCATGGATGATTTTCTGGAAATGGAAAGGCTAGCAGCTTTGCCTGATACTGAAAGTAGAAATATTTGCCTGGATGCCGAACCAGTATCAAAACAACTCAGTGCTGGTGAGAGCTCACTAAAAGCTGAACTTGAAGCCATGATTCACCAGACTGCTGAGCTTGAAGAAAAGTTGGAAAAGATGGAAGCAGAAAAAATGGAATTAGAGATGGCTTTGACTGAATCCGAGAAGCAGTTTGAGAGAAATAAAAATCAACTGAGGGAGGGTGAGGTAAGGCTGGTGGAGCTGCAAACTCAATTAGCTCTTGCAAACAAATCAAAGCAAGCCATGGAAGTAGAAATAATGGCTGCAAATGCAGCAAAAGAAATGTCAGAGTCTCAACTCAGAGTTGTTGAAGCAGAGATGAAAACTCATTTAGCTCTTGCAAACAAATCAAAGCAAGCTTTGGAGGAAGAAATGAAAGCTGCAAAAGCAAGAAAAGAAGTGGCAGAGTCACGACTTAGAGATGTTGAAGCAGAGATGAAAACTTTGCATTCAAGAGTTGCTTCCTTAGAAGAAGAAGTTGAAAAGGAGCGTACCCTGTCAGATGAAAAATTATCCAATTTTCAGAAAACCCAGGATGAGCTAATAAAAATGAAAAATGAAGCCAAGCTCCAGCATTCTGCTAGCTCTAAAATAGATTTGAAGATCTTACAGGTCAGTGATTTTAGAACTTTTTTTATTGTCTAAAGTTATATTTAGGAATAAAAGTTCACTGCAAACTTCTGATATAATAGTTGGCTAAATCGTGTGCTCGGTAATTCTTAATGCTACCATACCCCTATGCTGAACTACTCTCCTCATATTTTGCATTTAGAGAACAGCAGACTTAGTGTCCTTGGTGTGGTGGAGTTTGAGATGTTAAACAACTTGTGGGTTGGTTATATCTTAGAATTGACTATCAGAATTCTAGTGCTATTATTTAATGACCCATTAAGAGAGGGTAAAAAGTTAAAATGAAGAATAATCAACCAATCACTAACCTTGCAAGATACAATATATGATGCTCTCCATCTGTATAACTATGCATAAAAATATTTGAGGTGAAATACTACTATGATGTCACCATCAGGGCTATTGTTCTCTACCTATTGTACTCAAAATTTATAAAATCCATCAAACCGGCAAGGAAAGCAGAATGGGATCCCTCTCATTCTGTTTCATCTTTTGCTTGGGGTGACATCAATTATTTTGGTCAGTTTCCAATAGTTACTCTTTTGGCAGGAACTGGGTATTTAATGGGCTTTCTGCTAGTTTGGGGTTATAATTGAGAGAGATTTTCTTTAGAGAGAAAGTGAACAAAGAGTAGAGAGAGAAGAAAGTACCAAGTCATTATCTTGGTTACTTTGGTCTACCTGTCTTGATATGAATATTTGAAATATTTTTTCTTGACAAGGTCAAAGAAAGAAAGAAAACCAATGAAAGGTGCTTCAACCATTGAAAGCCAATAGGGTCTAGAAATCTTGATGTTGAAGATTATCTATCAGTTTCTCATTACAAGTTTACAAGGTTACTGGTAGTAGGCGGCTTACTCTTTAGACCTGTTAAGTTACATCCTGAAACATAAGAACTCCCTGAAATAGGTAACCACTTAAGGAACCTGCCAAATGAAAACAGGCCTCAAGAAATAGGGATTTTGCTGTGTATATAAATTCAATTATAGTGTTAAAATTTTGTGATTTTCATGTTTTGACGAGATTTTCTTTTAAAATTCTGTTCAATGAGTTATATAAGAGTACACACACATAATGAGTTGGGATGCTGTAATTTGAATTTTTTGGCTTAAATAACTCAAATTTTGAACCATCCATCTATTTCATTCCAAAGGTCTAGAGTTGTGAGTTGGCATCAACAATAATTGTCTTTCAATTTTAATGGACGATTTGGAATTGAAATGAATGGATGATTTGGAATTTGAGTTAATTTTTTTAGTCAAAAATTTATGCTGAAGAAGTCCATTATTGATTTTTTTTCAAAAGCTAAATTTGGAATGGCTGTTTTCTCATAGTGAGCTGCAAAAGTATGTTCTCATGAGAAGTAATAACATGATAAGGAGAACATGGTGGCCGTGCAGTAAATAACAAATACACAATCTTGTTTCTTTAAGTAGTTGGAAAGTCCTCATGTATTGAATGTTACAGGAGAAAGAGCTAGGAGTGGCTGCCAATAAATTTGCGGAGTGCCAGAAAACAATTGCTTCTCTTAGCCGGCAGTTGAGATCTCTTGCTACACTGGAAGATTTCCTTGACTCAGATACGTCATTGGAGTTTACAGGTGAAGTTGAAAATGGAGGGAAGTCATGGAGTTCGCATTTGTCAAATAGAGCTGACCTTCCAATCTCTTTCAAAGGTCAATGACATGGAATCAACAATAGATCTAAACCCAGTTTTGAGAATGTGAGGTGCTGTTGGATTAAGAATGGGAAATGGAATGAGTCCTTATGAGGATACAATCATACAATGAAGTAATAGTGTAAATGGTTGAGTTTTTTCACTGTAAAGAAAGGCAATTTATACTTGTTACGAATACTGAATAGCACTTGTATTACACATTGTGCCTGGTAAATACGAAAAGAAAATATTAAAGTATAGTGTTGCTTTCATGCTATATATTGTGGAAGTCAATCTTATGCGATCATATGGCTGTCAAAATCCAATATCATGAATTAGAATTATCGAGATTCCATTGAAAAAGAGGTCACGACTCACAAACAGTTTATTGGGGTGAGAAAGGCTCGAACTCACGACCTCAGGATTAATCGTAGCTATGAGACCTACGCGCTAGCCAACTGCGCCACCACCCCATGTTGTTTTCAGTAAGACCCAAAGCTAGTTGTATATTAAACAGAAAATCCAGTTAACATAAAATACAGGGATTTTTATTATGTGAGAGACAAGAAAGTACGCCCCCAATGTTTTGGAAAAGTATGAAAACACCACTGAAACTATGAATTTGTAGATTTGATTGATTAATGGAGGTTTCGTTAAGATGGGAGAGATGGTTTTCAAGACTAGGAGTTAGTGGTTTCTTATTACCAAAATTCTTGCATTTTTTTTTTAAGAACCATTTCTTAACTCGGCGACTCTATATTTTTTGTTTTCTTAATTGAATTTTGGAAGATTTTAGTGGCCATGATTTTTTGAACCGTTTCTTAATTAATTTTTGGAAGATTTCGGCAGCCATGATTTTGGAACAATTTATTAGTTCGGTTGCCATGGTTTGAACAAGATTTCGGCAACCATGATTTTTGAACAATTATTGACATCCCACATGGTTTCTGATTTCAACAATTTATCTTTCAAATTCTTTGTTTCCTTATTTGATTTTGGAACATTTCGGCACTCAATAGTTTTGATTAGCATTAGCCTCAGTCAGGGCAGGTGATGGAGATTTCTAAAACGTCATGGAGGATATTAAGAAAAACGTAAACCTCAGGGCATTGTTTTAAAAACCAGACCGTTCGTTGACCCGGTCAAAGGGCCGGTTCGCGGGTTGACCGATCCAACCGATTTGACCGATTGGTCTGACCGGTATGTAACAGTCCCATCTTTAAACAATTCCATTAATTGTTATAAATTTGAAAACCAGCAAATACATCCCGAAAAGTTACATATAAACCCCTGTAAGTTTAAAATAAAGTAAATACACCCTTAAGTTTTATTATTAATTATTTTTTCTCTCTCCCCATTACTTCCATCTTTCACTTTTCTCTCTCTCCCCATCATGCCATCACTCTCCATCAATTTCTTTCTTTTTCCTATTTTCTCTCTCTCCCATCACTCCTCGTCACTTTCTTCTTCCTCTACTGTAATTTTTCTTCACTTTCTTCTTCCCTCTCTTTCTCTTCATCTCCTCTTTTCTTTCTTCTAATATTCTTCCTTACTCTTTCTCGTGTCTCCTCTTCTTTTTCTTCTTCCTTCCCTTCCCTTCCCTTCCCCTCCCCTTACTTCTTCTTTACAGTTGAAGATGAAAATGGAAGATAATGAAACGGTGCTGAAATTAGTTTAGGAATATGAATTTTTTTTTAATTAGACTAACCGTTTTAAGCCCCAGGTTGGTCGGTTCAACTGTTTTGTACTGTTCTGTCGGTCCTTTACCGGTCCAAAACAGGTTTATTGACATTCCCAGTTTATGTAAACCCTGACTGAAGTAAAAGACGGCTCCCGATCAGACCGGCCAATCCGGTCCGGGTTTTAACACAGAGCCTCAAGGTAGATACTTGATAATACGCCTTTTAATTGCATAATTGAATAAGAAACTTATGATATTATGATTTATACAGCGAAGTAAAAAACTTTAAATACTCTTGATGAGAATAGACAATTTTCATTAGAGGAGTTGAGTTTTTCTCATTTAGGGGAATTGAAGTAGGAGGTAACAAGGTTGGAACAGGTCCTTGCTTTGCCGTATCATTGAATAAGAATTTTTTTTTTTGTTTTTAAGATCAATTTAGTGGGAAGATGAGTGTTGAGGTAAATGTGAGAGAATTAAAACCTATATTAAGAGAAATATTGTAGTGAAATTAAGTGATTTAAAAGAAATCTAATAGTTTGAACTTTATAATTTTGCTGGCATTGAACTATATATATCTAGGCTAATACAGAATCTAATGCGGCACTAATAAATAATAACAATCCTATGTTATATGGCTCCATATAACATGGGAAAGTTACAAAAAAAGGCCTATCTATTCTTTCAAAAGATTTTGAAACTGTGAATCAAATAACTAGATAGACTTTTGCATTTGATCATTGCGACATAGACAAACATAGCAGTTCATTTTATTAATCTCAAAGATTAATTAAAACTTTGGCTACATATAGTGTAAATAAAGAGTTTGAAATTCAGGTTAACCTTTAATGTGTTACAGAGTTTCCAGGTGCTTTTACTCACTATTGAGCAGATCATAGAAAACCTTTGGCTTTCTGTTGTCTGCGATGCGCAGGGCCTGAAACAAAGTAGCTCACGTATCAGCAGGCCTTACATATATTAGTTGCCTAACCAGTACATATACACGCAATAATCAAAATCAACTAGTTTCAAAACTTAGTAGAAGGCAAATAATGAGCTTAAATATTAGTCTGACAAAAATTCCTGTGGGGCAAAAACTTGCCAAAATTTGTTACATGCATCATATTATACCTGCATTGCGAATGCTATATGGATCAATGTGGGTTCAGACCATGGCTTCCCTATAAACTGGAGGCCAATAGGCAAGCCTGCTTTATCAAATCCAACCTATAACAAACAACAATACATCAAATAATGAAAAATTGGCACTACCAATGGATAACAAGCAAAAGAAATTAAAGGATCGGTTAGATTATACTGGAATTGTCACTGCTGGCAAACCCAGAAAATTTCCTGCTATTGAATACCGAACAAGTGCAGCTGAAATAGAAAGTTCAAGTTACATTAGGTTTATAAAATGAACATCTTACGTAAACAACTATTTTATTATTCCTTTCACACCTCCATTTATGTAATCAAGTTCACCGGTCTTTAGAGCATCATCCTTTATTGGGTATGCTGTCACGCTATCATATAATCAGATGTTATTGCCAGAAGTTTAAGAGGGGAATGCAAAAAACAGTGTGTAGTTTTATCTCAGTTAAGTTTGTAAAATTGACAAGGAAACGAAATTGGTTCAAGATCATAGGCTAAAATTTATTCGCAAAAATATTATGGGTAAAAGATTAAGAAAATCAAATATTGTTTAATTATATGAAATGTAACTAGAGCATGAAAACTTACCCTGTTGTTGGAACAACTATGACATCTGCCTTATCAAATATTTTTTGATGAATCTGCATTTGGCGATTCCTATGGATATGCATACAAGTTGGCATCAGAATAGGAATGTCTTACAGAAGCCAAGTAACTGAACAAATGAATATTATAGGTTTACTGATAGGGAAGCCTATGCAGACCATGGATTATGAATTAATAAGATGTACAAATGTGAATTAATATTGTAAGTGAACACTAATGTTGCTGCTTGTTTGAAAATCATACTAAACATCCTAGAACCTATCAAAATAAATGACTATTGTTGAAAAATAAATACCATTATGTCATATGTATTGAACTTTCTTTCTGAGAAGAGTATAAAAAAATATGAACCCTCTGAAATTAAGTTTTGGAGATTGGAATTACGCAATTTCAATACATTTACATTATTTGTTCAGTTGAAGCCATCTTCAAATTTCAAGATATTCTGTCCAAGGAAGACAATTCAGATCAGCTTCTTTGGTCGACAGGGTTTCTCTGCTTCAATTCAATGTGTGCATAATATAGGTCTCTTAACAGAAATAAAACTTTTAGAGATTTTATTTCTTCCAATTCTCACTTATTGTAAGTAGTAACTAAATACTCTTTAAGCAAAAATATATAAATAATTATGATAATAATTGAATTAAGTAAATCTTAACTATCATGTACCTCACTTTCTGCGCCTTTATATACTCATTGCTGCTAAAAGCACCATAAACACTAAGTGCTACTCTTGCATCCCACCCTATTTCTGCATAATTCCTATTTCGACGAGATTCAAGCGTCAGCATCCCAATTTAGAATATTTGTGAAAAGAAATTGATAACATTAGGGGGTTGAAATTGACATACAGCTTTTCTAGATAAGAAGAAAGTGATGTGGTACACTCTGATCCAATCGTCAAATAATGTGCCAGACGCATAGCTTCTATCTCTGGTATAGTAACCGGTACAGTCTTACACACAACAAGGCCTTGGAACATTAGCATGCAAGCAATCATTAAAATTCTTTTCATATTCAACATACAAATAGCGATGAAAGCAAAAAGGTTTTTCCGATGTTGATGAAAATTTCAAGGGAGTAAAAGAGAGGAAGCGAAAACTTAGACAGAAATTGAGGGAAAAATATCAGTAAAATTTTTAAGTGTAAAATGCTAATATTCATTCATAAGCATGTTTGTACCACAAAACTAAATAATGAATCATGCCTGCCGAAGTCCTAGTTAGAAAATTAATTAACATCTAGTGGGAAATAAAAATAAACCTGAATAAGGAATTCTACCTAGAAAATATAAGAATGAAAAAAAAATCCTAACAAAATTGGAAAGAAAATAAATGATGCTATAAATATATAGTACACTAGATGTCTATTATTGCAGAAGTGGTACCACTTAGTTGTAAAAAGAAGCAGCTATTCGTTATACCTTCCAATTATAGTGCTCACAAAGCTGGTCCATAGCAGAAGAGCAGCATATTCTGACATCATTACTGGAATCATTAAACCACTAATTGACCCCGAATAGTGGTTTAAAAATTTAGTACAAGGTTAGAATTAGCCTCTATCCAATGAACTTAAATTTGATCATAAATGTAATAATTTAGATAAATCATATTACTAACCTCTTCATACTTGGCTAATCTGATGTCTGATAATGATATTGTTGACTTTAGCAGTGGAAAATATACTTTGGGCTGGTAGATTATCCGTATACCAAAAAAAAAAAAAAGAAAAAATAAATAAATAAATAGAAGGTACATCCTCATATTGGCTGAGGAATCTGTATAGGTAAGCGGTAGAGGAAAGACATAACAAGGACGGAATAATGCCAAAATACTTATGGTACTGCAAAGTAAATATAAATAAAAATCATATATCTTCGCTACTTGTGGTCCATGTGCCTTATCTTATTGCTATAAGAAATGTATGTAGTAAATTTTTGTACGTGCTTATTATTTATTGTCTTACAGAATTGAAGCTTTGATTCAAACAAAAAAAGATGTCACATTTCACTATGAAATCAGATGTTGATCCTTCAGTTTGACAATACCATGGAGGATGAATTCTACTGTTGTTGGTTGAACTCTATTCTATGTCATAGTTTTTGGCCGTTCATGGAAAACAGAGTTTATATTGTGCCATCTATATGACATATGCAAAATCAACATATAACTTCCTTACAAAACGTCCACGTTTCATTTCTGTTGATAAAAAATAGAGAATTGTAAGCTTTTGGATAGTTAAGGAAAAGTAGTAGCTAATGGGATGAAAGTCTTACCACTGAAGTAGTAGACTGGGGGGTTGGAAGTGGGCCGTTAATAGCTGCATAACTGAACAAAATAAAGTGGTTTCTGTTATACCTCCAACTAAAAAAGACCAATTAGGAGATGAGTTTGTAAATTTAAATTGATGAAAAAAATGCCAAGAGAACCAGAGAGAGAACACTGACACAATAAATGCATCTTCTACAGTACCAGCTAGTATTCCAACCATCCCGACTGTCCAGTTGAAAGGGAGAACACTAAAAACAATCGTCACTATTAACATGTTAAAAAGTCTCAAAATGTCCTTGCATATGAAACTTAAAGAGCACTGAAATAGAGTTTACACACAAGTGCAAATGCTTATTCCTCACCCAGAAAGAGGTATACGCCCGAAAGTTGGTTTCAAACCAACAACACCACAGAGTGCTGCTGGCATTCGCACGGATCCTAAATAAACATTACAAGAGAAACATTTTTCAGTTAAAGAAAAGGTTGATCACATTTATCAAAAAGATAAAAAGTTGCACAAGTCTGCCTCTGTAGTTGCATCCAACTACTAATCTGCCCTTTCTTATCTCATAATCTAACAGCCTATGGTCTTCTAGGTTCTTGAATGTAGTAACGGAATGTTTGGGAATACTTGTTACTTCAGGCAGTTGTTTTCTTTCAGATGTACTTGAAGCATGATATTGAGAAAAATGCCATTCTTCTATAATCTCTTCATGAATTTCTTTATTGAGGCTGAGACACCTCTTAATACATCATAATCTTACAAGATGGCACATGTCTCTCTTTGTATCCTAAAAACTCTCTTTATCCAGTAAATTCGATCAACATCTTCAAAATGTACTCCTAGCCTCCACTGAAATATTCCAAGGTGTTATATGTTCCAATGACACAATCTAACTAGTAAGTATTGGCACAGTTTCAATTATTTTAATTTCTCATTTAATTAAGAACACCAAAAAAAAAAAGAAATCTCAATAACCAAGTATCCTGTTTGATGTGAATCTGGTTATTTAGGTTGAGTTGCCTCCAGCATTTAACTTCTGTTTGATCGAGACATCTTGACATAAGTTCTATATTCCAATTACCTTTAACAAAAGTCTTAAGTTCGGTACTAAGTAATCTTATTATAATTAACCATTACCAGCATCCAGGAACAAAAAAGTTTGATGCAATGTTTTATGCTGCTAAAATCATCAAATTCAGATTTCCTCTAAGCACTGATCCTTTTTAAGTGGAAAATATTGTGTAAATTACCTCCTCCATCGACACCAAGGGCCACGGGGCATAATCCTGAAGACACCACTGCAGCAGATCCACTTGAAGAACCTCCAGAGATTTTGTTGGTATCATATGGGTTTCTGGTAACCCTACAATACTCATGAAATAAATATGTCATCTTCCATGCGTATAAATCCCAAATGATATTATAATATAATCTAGACTATTTAACTTTTGGTGGGGCAAATGCAACATGGTCTATATATCAGTCACATGGGATCAAAAAGGTAAAATGGAATCTATAAAGAGCACCAAATAATTCCAATAAGGCAACTTTTAGCTTAAGAAGAGACATCTAAGGATGAAATTTCTCACCCGTAATGAGGATTTATTCCACTTGTTCCAGCCCCGAGTTCATGCATATTAGTTTTCCCAACAAGTATCGCACCGCATTGTCTAAGGCGCGCTACACAACATGCATCCGCTGTACAAGGTCTAAGTTTGGGCAACCACTTCGTACCTCCTATAACAACCAATACAAAAATGAGTGAAATAACTGAAGATGAAATAAATAATCAACTGATGTGAACAAGAAGACTGCTTTCACTAAAGAAACTCTGTCAGTGGAAAACCATGGAACATCAGGTTACCTGTAGTTGGATATGGAGAACAATCTATTTCATCCTTTATAGCAATTGGGACTCCATCTAGAACCGATATTGGTTGTCCTGGAGAGCACCATAATGAGAATAAGATGAAGATTAAAATATGCACGATCTGTTTCATAGCTAATAAATAGAAACATAAACAATACTGTAACAATTGGACAAGCATACTTATGAAATGGTCTGAGAAAATAGAATACCAAAATCAAGACATTTATAGAAAGATTATTGGCCAAAAGCAATATAGTCAGATGATCTTAAAGAAATTCATAGAGCTTAACACAATTTCTAACGGCAGTAGATTCCAATACAGGACTGCAACCTTAACTTAATTGATGACAGCAGTAAGTAATTAACTACTTAGAAGAATATACAGCATTCAAATACGGTATTTTCCTTACAGAAATACATAGAATCTGGTTTATCAGTATATACCTTTTTCATATCGAAGAGTTGACTCGGTAGCTTGCCGTAGAATATCCTCAGCATCATAGTTAATGAAGAATGACATTTGCAGTGGAAGGCTTGAAGATTCACGGACAGCTGCTAAAAACCGCTCTGCAATCTGTACAAACCAAAAATATATTCCTTGGGGAAATATGTATTGCACAAATACACCATTTTATAGTTAAGGTTTCAGAGGAGAGATTGAAAAAACATGTGAAATTTTTTAAAGCAACATTGCAGACTATACAATAATTTGAGTTTCCGCAAATAGGATAAAAAATAAAAATGTAGTGAGAAGATTACCATGAGAGGGGTTATTTCTCCAGAACTATAGGCTCTTGCATAATCCAGTATTGTCCAGCGATGAAACTTAGGTTTATGTGAAGGCAAAGATGAAGGCAGACAGTGTATGGCCTCTTGAACTTGTTCAGGTGGAGATAAATGAGAAGCAATGTGTTTGACTTGTTGTTCATTAAGATCTAAAGTCAGAAAGAAGATAAACTATTAAATCTTGAAAACAAAATGAAATATAAGCTGTAGATAGATACAGTTAATAATTGAATGCAATGGATGAATAAACAGTAGTTATCATAAATTCGAAAGTTGTATGAGATTGCAAAACAAGAAAATCAAATTATTGTATCACTCAATCTTAAATACAATGCAAGATTGTTTACTAAATAATGTGGTGAAGCAATTACAGTCCATGCAAAAATAGCAAATAGTTTATGGAAACCAACCTTCATAGGGATGCAAAGGAACAAAGAGAGGTGGTTCTTCAAGTTCTGCGTTTGTAATAAGCTGCCAAAGTTGAAGAAAACATGTTATTAAATGATTTGTAGCTCAAAATAACAGAGACTAATAAAAGAATTAAGCAATACTAAAATTATGCACCAATTGACGCAATAAAAGAGGTTTTTTGCATTGGTGAATGATCTGTGAAACAACATCAATGAAATTACTATTGAGGGAATAAGAGGGCTCCTTAGATCTTCATGTTCATCTGGGCATTTCCACAAGTAAATTATTGCATGTTTTCCAGCAAGAAATGAACACTTGTTCTTGTTACCTAAACAAATATTTTCATCGAATTTCTTTCATACTAAAGAGTAAAATGCGTGAAATCCCTAATAATTTTAGGGAAACTGAACTCAAATTCCGATCTTTGTCAATGGGTTTATTGATAGTTAATTCTCTGCCCTTGCGTAAAAAAGGTCCCAACGATTATCTGAAACTATTAAAACCCTTAAAATTATCTAAAACCCTCTAAAAATATCATAAAACTTTGAAAAAATCAGAAATCCCCTACAATAATAAAAAAAAAAAAAAAAGGATTTTCACCTGCGCTCACTCAGTAGACAAATAAAATAAACCTGAAAACACATTTTAATTTTTAAGTGAAGAAAATTTGGATGAGTTGTATTGCCCTCTCACATTCAAGCTACTCTACAACTAAACGTTACAGAGGACGTCAATGATTTAACTAGCATCAAATAGATCGCCTTGCATCGATTATTCTGATGTTGTGTACCACAAATAGCGGTCTAACGATCGTGCTAACAGTCTATTTTTAATTAATTCCCTTTTCAAAATTTATTAAAATTTACATAAATTACTTTTTTTTTTAAATAAATAAATATTATGTTGGAGAGATAAAAGTTAGCCATTTTTTCGTTGTTATACGGATCAAAACAATTTAAAAATCTATTTTACAACATACCATTAGATTTTCAAAATCAACACATTTTAAAAGTTACTTTACCAAACAAATTCCAAATATTTTCAAAATTAAAGTTTATTTAACTTAAAGCTATAGAAATTATAAATTCTGTTGTGTGTACCTTTATATATATATATATATATATATATATATATATATATATATATAAGGATTGATTTAGCCACCGGTGCCTAGCGCCTGGCCTAGTATAGCCTGATCTAAGCCTTGCCAAGCCGATCATATTACGGGCAGTGTTGATCTGGTAAATCATGGCCAACAACTATGTTGGGCCACAGCAAAATAGACAAGTTGAGAATTTAAATTAAGGATTGATTTAGCCACCGGTGCCTAGCGCCTGGCCTAGTATAGCCTGATCTAAGCCTTGCCAAGCCGATCATATTACGGGCAGTGTTGATCTGGTAAATCATGGCCAACAACTATGTTGGGCCACAGCAAAATAGACAAGTTGAGAATTTAAATTAATATTTTAATTAGGTCAAAATGAGTCAACTGTGGTGGAGACATTCAAAATGGGATAGTAAAAATGCAGAACCTGGCTAGGATGGTAGGGTAACACAGAAAAATAGCATGGGGTGCGTTGGTTTATTATTTTAGATAAGATTTTAGAAATAATATTAGATAGTTGAATAGAGGAGTATTATGAGGTAAAATTTAAAAATTTATAAAAAAGCCCCTAGGTTTACTAATTTAATTAAATACTCCGATATATAAAATGATAAAAATACCCCCACCACCTGCAGTGCCAGATTCCAGCCACCGCCGCTGGAATCTAGCCAAAAAATCGTGTTACAACACAGACCGGTTAGATATGTGTCGTAACGCGTCATTATGGCCTTTTCTAACTAGATCCACCATGAATCTGATCGGCTATGGCCTATTGTGGCCGCGATGGTCGAAAAAGGCCAAAACGATGATCATCTTTGGTAATCGCTGACGGCTGGATCTGGCCTTTTCCGGTCAAATCCATTGTGGATCTGGCCGGAAAAGGCCAGATAGGTGAATTACCGGCCAGTTTCTGTCGATAATTCACCGTTATGGCAGATTCTGGCTACCACCGATAGTAGTTGCTAGAATCTGACAAGTATAGGTCACGGGAGTGTTTTTGTTAATTTTTAAACTTTTTTTCGGGGGTATCTAATGAAATTAATAACGTCTAAAAATAATTAAAAAAAGGATAATAATTCTAGAATAATGTGCTAAACTTTATTTGAAGAATAGGATTGAGAATATGGACAGAAATAATAAATCAAACATGCCCATAATTGTTGCAATCAATTAAAGGTGAAGGTAAAGGTATAAGGGGATACCTTATGAATTAGATTATTTTTCTTCAACAAGTACAACAACACTTGTCCAAAGATAGGCATCTCCAAAAACCAAACAAATATTTTAACCACAAATCCAGCCATTCGAGGAGCTACAAGAATAAAATATCATAATTAATGATGAAAACAACTGCAATTCTCTGTGCAACTAATTACAGAGTGGGTTAGTACAACTGCAATTCTCTCTGCAACTAATTACTATATTCCCCAACATACACACAATTTGATCCAAGGGAATCGAAATCGAACCTTTGACATTGGCTTTGAGATAAACATGATCGCTTTGAGGATCAACATCAACCTCACTCACTGCCTTGTAAACTAAACCTTCATCTCTCAACAATCCCATCGTCGCCGTTGGATCAGTGTTCTTCTTATGCTGATGAATGACAATTTCAAATTAAGAAACAGCAGAGAGACATAGTGATGTGTATATATATATATATATATATATATATATATACAAACAAGAAGAAAAGTTAATGAATGAATTGAAAGGATAAAAGAGTTGGAAAGAGAGTAGGGTGGGCGGATATGGCGAGAAAAGTTGGCCTTTCTAATATTATCTATTAGTATCAATCCATCATACTCTTTTCTTGCCCATAATATTGTTTCTCAGATTAAACCTTCCAACTACTTTTGACTTTTTAACTTTTTCCAAATTATTTTTTTAACTCTGTTGCTTCTATTTCAAGTTTACTTTTTATAACGATAAATGATTGGAATAATAGCAGTCTTTTATCCAAAATAATAATCCCAAATACCAAAAAGCACTATCTTTTAATATTTTTATCCTTTTATTTAATTTATCTTTCTCTTAAATTATTTATATATATATTGCATGAATGTAAAAACAAAACTGAGATACGTAATCCCATATTACTAAGAATATTTATTATTAATTTATATTTTATTAGAAATATGATATTTTAAGTTGTAATTAACTTTGTAAAGTATAGAAGCTATTAGGTTAAAATTATTGTAGCTTTAATTAGAGTTACAACTGTCAAGGTTTATGGAAATGCCAGTTACTTTCGACTAATAATTTTTTATTATTATTATTATAAATTAACTCCTAGTTAAAGCATATATAAGATTATTTAATTTGAGCTAAAAAAACATCAACTCTTAGCCTTAGGTATAATAAAAATAGTTCAAACCAAACCAAATTAATAAGAAGAGCAGGGGAGTCAAACCAAACCAAGAGAACCCTATTGTAACATACATTAATTAATGTTGAAAGTGTGTTTAAAAAATTTAATCTTTATTTAAAATATTTATTGTTTGGTGACGTCTCATTTGAAAGATTCCTAACTAGACAAGAGAAAATTTTCATTACCATTTTAACTTAGCAATTAACATTCTTTTATTTTATATACAATATACAAAAATTATTATTAACAAAGAATGTGAGGTAACTAGAGAGAGCATTAAAAAGATAAAAGACTAGAGAAGTAAGCATAGCATTTAGTTAGATAATGATGTGTTTTAATAACAACTTACACAATCTTTTCATTTTATTTTAGTTTTATCCATCTAGTAGACACAAGCTTGATAGATTAACAGATTTTATACGAAACAATTTCTCACCATTTTTATTTTTTGAAGTTTTATATATATATATATATATATATATATATATACAGTAGCGGATCCAGAAATTTTTTTTAGGGTGGGCCAAAATAAAAACTAATTACATATTAATATTTTTGTCCATTAATATTTTTGTTAAGGTGGGCCAAAATCTAAAAATTATATATACTAGTAAAAAGAATTGAGGGTGGGCCAAAAGTAGGTTGGATCCGCCCCTGTATATATAGTAGAATCTCTTTATAATGATACTCTATATAGGAAAAACCTTCATGTAGTCATAAAAAATTCTAGTCCCAACTTAGACCAATTGTAAATAAGAATAAATTTCATATTTTAATAAGTTATAATTTTTCTAAGTCCCGTCTTAAGGAACTTGTCTTTATATAGTAATATATAAAGTTGTTTGGGACAATAATTTATGCTTTAGAGTTATTATTACATCTTTTATCTTACAGATACATAATAAGTTGCCAGTATAAACACCTTCTTATTGAAGCCAAAATATTTCTAATTTCTCAAGCATGGTTGGAGTTTCTTACCATGAAACTTTTGATATTTTTGTATTATCATCCTCAGAATTATCTCTTTCCTCTTCTTATTTAATTCTAGTAATTATTTCTTTTTCAGTTAAAGCATACACGACTTGTTGTTCATTTGGATGATTGAGGAAAATATTAATATCTATTTGATTAGTGTAGTGAAGTTGAATCTGATCAATCAATTTTACAATGACTCCTTGATATCTATCTCTATACTATTCTAATGCTACTAAAACAATTAATTGAAATCTTAATACTATTAAAACATGATTATAAAATAAGAAATTAAAACAATAATTTTTTAATTAAAACAATAATTCTTGTAACTACACCTCTATTAAGTTATAACCTCATAGTAATAGATTTAGTTGTACCAACATTGTGGTTGTAGAGAAGTTCTACTATATATATATATATATATGTTCACCAAGTTCTTAACAGGACTGTTTCTAGACAGAGAATTCACCTTCAAAACAGACAGGTAAGCATCTGAAAGGCCAGTGTACTTCCCAACCATCGCAATTTTAACCTGTAACATATGTAACAGTTAAGAACATGCTACCTAGGATTATGCAGACATAAAACATATATATCAATTTTACTGGAGGCTCGACACCCACAGGATCATGCAACATATCACAAACTCTAGTCCTGGAAGTCCATTCATCCAAATCAGGCTTCCNCGGGTATCCCTCCAAAAGACCCGTTTCAAAGCGACTTGTACTCGGCCCGTCCATGAAATTTGCGAATGGGTCGGGTAATACCCACGGGTACCCGCAATTGAATTTAAAAAAAAAAAAAAATTAATTTACAATACAATTTTTTATTAACAAATATTCAAAATTCAAATAAGTAATAATTTACAAAAACAAAACAAACCCTAAAGACTAAAGTCAAACTCAAAACACAACTCTCACTCTCTCAAACTACAGTCACAAATTCACAGTACACACTCAACTCTTTTCTCTCACGCAGCAGCAACACGCTCATGACTCTTTCACAGCTCACTCATGCAGGACGCAGCCACAGTCAGAGCTCATTGTCGCCAACGAACGGCAGCTCCCAAACCCAGGAGTACACACTCAACTCTCTTCTCTCACGCAGCAGCAGCAGCACGATCACGGCTCCCTCAAGGGTCCTTTATAGCTCACTCACGTAGGATGCAGCCACGGTTAGAGCTCACTATCACTGACGACCGACAGCTCCCAAACCCAAGAGTACACACTCAACTCTCTTCTCCCACGTAGCAGCAACACGCTCACTCACAACTCACTCACACAACCACGGTTAGAGCTCACTATCGTCGACGAACGATAGCTCTCAAACCTGGGTCGTCGCACGCAAAACTACAGCAGCTGCAGCTCTCCTCTCATTGTCATTCTGCTCTGATGACTCTTAACTCAGTCTTAACTCTCTCGCGCTCACTCATGCCGACGAACGGTGGCTCCCAAACCCAGGCCACCGCCGACGAAACAACAGCAACTATAGCTCTCCTCTCCCTCTCATTCTACTCCGATGCGACTCTCAGCTCAGTTTGAACTTTCAGCTCAGTCTGAACTCTCTCACCCTATCATGCCGACGAACGGCAGCTTTTACTCTCCTCTCATTCTCATTCTCTCTCACTCCGACGTCGCCTAACTCTCAGTAGCAACCGTCACTCTCAGAGGTAAACGCTTTCACCAAGTTGGCAAATGATTTGGGCAAATAAGACAATACCTTTAACTACCATTATTTGCACCGTGAGAATTGAGTTTTGATGCATTATTTGCATTGTGACTTGTGCGTTGTGAGCATTGAGTTTTTTGTATGATTTCGAATTTCTATTAATGTTAGAATCATTATTTGCATTGTGATTTGTGAGCATTAAGTTATTGTAGTTCAGGAGTGTTGACTATTGAGTTGGAAAAATCCAGCCATTTAGTAGGGCTAGTTTGCTTGTAAAATATATGAGAGTGGTTTTTTTTTTTTTTTTTGAATGAATTGTTATGATTGGTTAATTAATTTAAATGTAAATACTCTATTGTGTCCTTTAGATTGGCTTGGCATGGAGGAGTCTACATATTTGTTTAATGAGGCACTAGAAATGGGTCGTAATGTAGCCGTAGGTCAACCTCCTTCTAGTGGTAGTACTATTTGTCCAAAAAGACATAAAGTTTCAAATGTTTGAGGTCAATTTACAACATATAAAGAAGACAATGGGGATGTGCGGGCAAGGTGTTTGATTTGTAGTAAGTTTTATGTATATGGTAGTTCCACTCATGGGACTAAGAATTTGAGGCGCCATATGGAAGGTTGTCCTAAACGTACCATTAATAGTGTAGATCAAATGATGATAGATTGTCATACTAAATTGAGACATTTGAGGATTTCTCAAGAAATTTATCATGAGAAGATGGCAATAGGAATCATAAAACATAATTACTCATATTCAATAGTGGAGCATGAAGGAATTAAGGATGTCCACATGTATCTGAATCATGAAGTTAAGCCTTATACTAGGAACACCGCTAAGGCGAGTTGCTTAAAGATATATTATAGGGAGAAGGAAAAGATTAAGTTTGCTTTAGAGAGGGTTTTAGGTAGAATATGCTTGACTTCTGATATTTGGAGTTCTTGTACTACTAATGGGTATATTTCTTTAATGGCTCACTATGTTGATGAGTAGAGGTGGGCAGGGACTAGTCCCAAGCAGCCTGGGCCCGGGTCTATTTGGGACTGGTCCCAAATGGGACTAGTAGCTCATGGGCCTAGGACCGGGCCCAGGCCCATGAGCAAAATAAGGACTCGGACCGGTCCTTAGGATTGGTCCTATGGGCCCAGGACCGGTCCTTAGGATTGGTCCTATAGGCCCAGGACCGGTCCTATGGTCCTGGACAATTTATTTTCCCCCTGATCTTTTTTTATATTTTGGGGGTAAAACGAAATTTTATAGGGGGCATTTAGTATTTTGTAAGGGTAGATTAGTAAGTTTTTAAAAATTTAATTAATTTTAAAAAATAATAAATTAATTAATAGTTAATTTTAATTTTTAATATAAATTCACGTCTCACACATTCACGCTTCACAAATAAATAATTAAATTATTTTTTTTAATTAAATTATTCATTTTCATCGTCAACAATATTTACATCATTCAAATCAGTATTCCTAAAGAGTTCGAGTAGTTCGGGATCTTCAGGGTGCTGTTGTAGTCTTCTTTCTGCATGAGTCCAATCCCGTAAACACGTTATCACTTCAATCATCTCATCGGTTAAAGAACATCTTCTGTCTTCAACCATCCGACCACTTGTTGAAAATGTTGACTCGGATGCAATTGTAGA